GAGGGGGCCCAAGAACAAAAGGGGAAAAGAGTGGCTATGTTGGCCGACCACTTTCATGCGAAGGATCCTATTCTCCTTGAGATCATCCCAGTTTTGCCCAAGGAGTCCTTTACATGCCCTCTCTCCAGATTACTATCGCCCATTGATTTATTTTTCGCCATCAGTTACCGTATAATTAATATCTTAGCTGTGATATTCTGCGGGTTGTTTCGAAGTGCTGATTTTTCAGGTAATGGAATCGTCCTGCTCGACACCAGGGTCGAGCCGATCACGTTCAGCGGCAGGGTTACGCCTGCCACTTCACTTACAACAACCGTCGTCGAGTAACTCAGGTAGGTCAGCCGGCCCCTTTCAGGCAATGGTTTTGTTCGAGGGTTAACATCTGTCGACTGTTTACCTTCAGGTCCAGCCGTTGTTAGCCCTTCTGTGCACAGCATTCGACCTGGCCAAACGTACGTCACCGTTCAGACGCTCACCAAGGAGAATTTGGTCATCGTTGTGAATGTTGGTTGAATTTGCAAGAAAGTTTCAATTAAAGTTGTTGCTCTGACGATCGACGACATTCCAGCAAAAAACGAAGGTTCACGATGTACTGTGGAAATGCGGGGAGATTCTGGAAATCACCGAGGACAAGCTGTTTGGGCTTGCTCTGCGCCAACCCACTGAGGGGATAGGTAAGTGTTACTGAGCGTCTCACTCAGTCTGCTACTTCCAGTCAAACTGGATAGGTCATCTTACTCGCAGGAAACACGGCTAGTGGAAGGGCAGGGGCATTTGGAGGATTATCCAATCGAAGCGGGGATCCCAGAATACCTTCTTTCCTATTCCTCTTTTTGCGCGAGAACTCCGTTGATCCACGGCGGAGCAGATTCCCTTCTAGGCGTAGGTGTCAGTGTTCGGTCCCACTTCCTACCTATCGAAAATCCTCAACCTCTTACCGCTTTCCACCTATTCAGAGGATTCTCCAGTTGTTCCCCACAAAAACCTACAAAACTGGAGCGGTGGGGGGGAGGGGGATCCAGGACCCGTGGATCTTCGAGCGTTGAAGAACAGAAGCGAATACGTCCGCTTCCTCGCTCTACTGAGCCACTTTTCGTTTCGCTGGATTTCTGTGGAATTGATTTTGTTTTCATGGTATTTGACGTTTTTTCATTTTGCTGTTTTTTCAAGGAAATTGGCTTTATGTTCTTTGTCCCCTTTCCCTTTCTTGCTTTTTATAGCCCATGACATCACCACTAGTATATATCGCGTTTTAGGTGGAGACCAACCAAGACACGAATATTTTTTCCTGGACCCCGCGCAGAAGATCGTTAAGTACGCTCCGAAGCAACCACGATTCTCGCAATGGGTACGTCCCATTTACTTATCTCTACATAATTTTGTCTTTAACCACGTTTTTATTTTTGTACCCGCCCGTTACTCATATTGGTAAGGGTTTTGCATGCTTATAATGTTTTCTTAAAATTTCACCTTGTGTGCACTTCACTAAACGACCGTTCCAGTAAAGGATTGTTATTGGGGGTGGGTTGTTAGGCATATGGAACTATGACACTCACTTCTGTCCACGGCGGGAATTCCCATTCTTCTGGCTCACAGTTATTTTGTCGCACATGGCAACATATGCTTCATCTTACTGGGATGCCGCTTTGCTTCGAAGCATACCATTACGTCGCATTTATCAGGGAGGTGACCAAAAAGGGTATGGTTTTAATGAAGAGAGCAGGGGTTTCGAGCGAAGGATGGGCAAAAAAATATATGGGAAGCGACAGTGGTCTCAAGAGAAGAGCTTGCTAAAAGGGATCCCAGAGGTATGGATGAACAGGTGACAGAGCATGATCAAATTTTCATTGGGGATACCATTAGATAGAGCCTTTGTGAGAGGTCACAGTAAGATGGAAAGATCGAGGGCAAACAAGAGAGCTCTTAATTCCATTCCTTTTTAGATGCCCTCACATAGTCGTCCGAGCTCCAAGCCCAAGTGAATCTTTTTTCGAAGGCAACCCTGCGATTGCATCTCTTGTGTAGCGGTATTCAATAGCGAACCAATAATCACTACATATGTGACTCTTCGGAAAAAAAAGCAAAAAAATCATGGATAATACTCCAAGCAAGGACACCTGGCAGCCTTATAGTACGTGTTCTCCGGATCTGCCAACAAAGCGATTTTCTGCCGCTTCCGGCTTACCAATTACTTCCTCGCGTCATGCAGTGCTAACACCACTAAACGCGAAAAAAAGCTGAAGACATGGTGTGAAAACTGAACTTGTAACAGAAATAGTTTTTGAATTTCGATGAGCGGGGCAACTAGGGAGGCGTCAGATCTGCTACTTATGAGGGCCCCTGCACGTTCGTTACTTACTGACCGTGAAAAAGGGACAGTTCTATGCACTGCCGGTTTTCCACGGCTAGACTACTTGGACGACGAAGGATTCCTACGAATCGGTTGAGCGCGGGGACTATCTTCAAAGCAAGAGGATTTGGCTAACACTGGTATACTGGCATGGCAAGCGACACTGTTCTTGATTATTAGCCCCTTGACTACAACAAACTGGCACTACAAGAAGTCATGGAATAGGCCGGAAAGTACGTTGACCACTGGGGATTTTTTGATTCTGAAAGTCTCCCAAAGCCGTGACACCATTGTCTGCAGAAACCACAGATAACACTGTTCAGTGATCAGGTGTAAACTCATTCGAAATACATTTTTTTCTAGAACAATTCGCCTGGAATGTCACAAGACTTTCTGCTCAACTGAGCATGAATCGTTTACTATCAATTTTTGTTAAAGGAACGGTCCTCGATGTCCGTCCAGCCAAAAGTAATGCTACGGGGAAAGTGGTTGCTTCATTGTCTCTTGTAGACCCTCAAGGTTATCCCAGCCGACGAGACTTGTTCCAGTCTTTCGGTCATTCACCCATACAGTTCCTTGAGGCTGGAGGAGTCCTGATAAATGCACTTCCAACCTTCCCTTTGGCATTTTCCTTTCCACTGTCGAGTCACCTGGCGAGTTTTCTCCCAAATTTTTACACCATCACCTACGCTCCTTATCGCGGACCGTGCCTTTAAGTTCAGCTGGTTCAATGCGTTAATATTACGTTTCTCTTGGAAAAAATTCTCGCTCTTTCTATCTGTTGACGTAGGGCAGATTCCATTTTACGTTTCACGCATGTGCCTTTACAACATGCAGAAGACCGTTTTGAAAAAAAAACGCTTTCTGTCCCGGACGGCCTTCGCGATAGAAAAAACGAGCTTGTGTCCAATGAAGACAGATGAAGCGGTCGCGGTCGAGCTACAATCCTCTTATTGTTTTGTAGACTGCCGTTTTGTAAACCGCTTTATCAGAACAGCTGTTGCATTGAATCTGTAGCAGTAGTTGTCTTCTGATGTTTTCCACGTCCTTCACACTCTATCTGTTCCTCTCTCGTTCTCACGAGCGACCTCCCTCTCGTAGCGGCACTTCCTGTTATCTCGCATAGATCACGCCCGTTTCTTCGCATTCCATTCCGTTTTGCGTCTTCTTCACAGATGCCTATCTATATCTGGTAGTGCGGCCGTGCGTTTCGCCAACTCGTAAGGTCAGAACATTGCTGACTAGAAGAGCGCAAATAAGCGAAAAGAGGGGTGAGCGACGAGGCGCCTGGAGTATCAGGAGACCCCGACGCTAAGGAGATCTATTGATGCTACCTTACGGAACCGCACGTAGCGCAGCTCATTTTGGAGCTCTGATGTCTAATTTCTTTTATATCACGCAACTAGTAAAGGTCGACTGGCTCGCGTGAATTCGGAGC